CAGCTTCATCTTCGTATGAATACTTGCCCTCATTCTCAGCATCCTCTGCTTCTATTTCATCATGAGGCTCAAAGAAAGGAAACCTTTGATCTCCACTTGTAGCCATACTCAATTCCATATCATGTGCACGAGTTGCTAGTTCTTCAAATGTTTTGGGCTTCATGCCTTGTAAGATATAGCGAAGACTCCAATGCATGCCTTGAATGAACATTTCGATGCCAGAATTTTCGCTAAGGTGATCTTTGCAGTTGAGGCTTAAGCTCCTCCAGCGGTTGATGAAGTCAATAACTGGCTCATTCTTTCCTTGATGAGTGTTTGTAAGTTCGATCATGATTACGATGCGTCTTGTGCTATAGAAACGATTGAGAAACTCTTGCTCCAACTGCTCCCAACCAAATGCATTACCTTTGAGAGAACGAACAAACTGTTTGACAAGATGATCACCATAAGTCCTAGTGTTATTGCATGTCTCGACGAAATGCGCCACATATTGCTTGGGATTTCCTTTTCCATCAAATTGTTGAAGCTTTGGAGGTTGATATCCAGTAGGCATCTTCAAGTTATCAATCTGTTGTGTGTATGACTTTACATATGCGAGTGAAGATTTAATCGGAGGGTCAATTTTATCTTCAATTGTCCCCACGATGAAGTCCTTCAATTTGATCAACATGAATTAGACCGTCTGAAGAAACTTGGATCTCTTTGACCGCGATCGTTCGCCTCGCAGCCGATTCTCCTTCTTCTTTATCTTCGGAAAGCTCCATAGGTGCTTGAATTGATTTTGCTTCTGCTAAGCATTTGACCTCATTTGCTAACTTTTCGAGGCGAGTATTTCGATCCTCCATATACTTGGTCAACTTCTCAAGTGCTTTGGTCAAATTTGCAAGTTGTTCTTCCATGGTCGAATTGTTAGATCTTGTTCTTGAACTTGGAAAAGAAGAGAAACCTCCAGTGAGTGACTATAAACGATTATGTCATTGAGGTTTTCCACTACAAACTGGTCAAGGGGAGTAGGCATAGTACCGGAAAGTACGGATTCGGGGTTCATCCCTCAATCAAGCGCTACTTGAAAGTCAGGATAGATTCCACTCCCAGTTAGTACGTACCTATTTTTTAAGCAAGAACTCTTAATCGTTCGAGAGGTAGAGACCGTCCCACTAGGCGTGCAAAAATTTGTGGACAATAAATTGCGTCAAAAAAATAATCGAGATCAAAAAATATTGCAACAATTGTAGTATTTGATTTCCAATTTTTGGGTGTTACAATCTCTTTGATTCTTCTGATTCTACTTTTCCAATATAAATTCAAGGGCCTTTGAGCTTAATCTTGAATTTGTTTTATCCGTCGCGAACACTTTGATTGTTGCAACGAATTGTATCACGAACAAGTAGCCTTGATCTTGAACGCCTTGTATTTAATTTGACTTCGTTCTTGATCTTGAATACTTGAAATTTGTGTTGAAGTGCTTGAATGCTTGAACACTTGCAGTTTGCAGAGAATTGTGGCATTTGATCCACGAGCTCCCTTGTGTTCTTGTTATAACTTCTGGTGTCTTTTCTGGGTTATGAAGACCCCTATTTATAGTTGTGGGAGTGAAGAGTCATGATAAGAACAAACTCTTTCCGACCAATCAGATTGAAGAATGACAAGGCCGCATTTGATTGGCTAGAACATGTCACTTGCACATGTGGCGCGGTTTCATTCGCCTTTTAATTTGACTTGGCATGCCTTGTCATTTTGACACGTGGCATGATCCCATTGACTCTTCCGTTTGACTTGACGTGCCACGTCATTTGACACGTGGCACCAAACTGGGCCTCTAGGAAGATGACATCTTGGGCTTAATGAAGTGGGTTCATCACTTTAGCCCAATTAAATGGGCTAGCCCAATGGATTAAGACTTATTTATTTAATCCATATATATTGAACTTATATAATTAATTCAATTATATTAGCCCATAGTATTTATTTGGACCAATATATTTTGAATTTGAAATATAATCCAAATTATTTTATGGATTTAATTTTAATAAAATTTATATGCCTACACTAACACGTACACTTTTTACATTAAATAGTACCTTCCGCCTAATAACTTCGTTAAGCTTAACATCGACAGAGCCTTCAATCAAATGACTCAGAGAGCGGGAGCTATAGGAATTTTTTGCAACTCCAACAATCATTGAATCCGTGGATTTACAACTAGTTTAATCTGCTTCTCTGCTACTGAAGCTGAACTGTAGCACTTCGGCTAGGCTTACAGTTAGATAAGGACTTTAGCCTCCAGCCACTTCAAGTAGAAACTGATTTGCAGGTACTATGCACCATAGTCGAACATGGCAATAAATTTTACTTACCTATTATTTTTTACTGCAGGTCACTGCTAGTGGAACTGAGTCGCGTGGAGCTTAGACATGTTACCGAGAAGCTAATGTTGTAGCAGATACCTTGGCTAAGTATGGCATGAACTTCACACCCTCCAATAGGCGACAGTCATAGCATCCCCATACTACTTATCTCCTCCTCCCTTTGCTTTATTTCAATAAGGACTGTTCTAAAAGCTTGAACATTCGAACAATCTTGACTTGCAATAACTATAACTGTTACATTACTTAATTTCTAATATAAGTCTCCTTATTAGCCCAAAAAAATCATTAAAATTTAGACAAATAGAAACAACGGAAAAGGGCCAAATGTGTCCCTGTACTATCGAAAATTAGTTATTAATACCCTCCGTTATGCTTTCCTTCACTATCTACCCCTATCGTTACTCATTTTAATATTTATGCCCCCGCATCTAACGGACCATTTTTTTAAGACACGTGGCACGATCTTAAAAAGCCTAACCATCTATCCTTGTACCCTACCCGTTCAGCCCGACCCGGTAGCCCTCCATTCACCCCTAAAAAAGCTTAATCTTGTTTCTTCTCCAAAACTAGGGTTTAAATTCATTAAACATTCTGGATGCTTGAAGTTGGAGAATACACCAGTATTTGCATATGGGTTGCTGCAATTATCGACATCTGTAGAAAAATGAAACATTTTAAGAAAATGAATGTATGTCTATATTGGTTTAAATTTGCTTTCTTCTTTTCAAGAAAAGAAGCAAAAGGTGCAGAGTGTTGTGGGATTGATAAATTCAAATTAACGTATTTCTAGTTTATTCCTAGCCTTCAGATTGTTTCTCTTTTGTGTGGGAATCTCTCTGCAACTCTCATTACCAACTCACGCTACCATTTGAAGGAGACTTTTAAAGAAGAAGAACAAGGAGGACTCCAATTCGAAACCATACAATAACACAATAATAAACTCGTTTATAAATTACAATTTTTTAAATAAAGTGTACACAATTCAAGAACACAGTAATTATCCTACCCATGATCTTAAAAAGGAAGGTGAAGAAAGAAAACAGAGGAAATCGCTCAGATGGGGCAAAACCCGAGTTTTGGAGAAGAAAACAAGATTAAGCCTTTTTAGGGATGAAAGGAGGCTACCGGGTCGGGCTGAACGGGTAGGGTAAAAGAGTAGATGGTTAGGTTTTTAAGATCGTGCCACGTGTCTTAAAAAAATGGTCCGTTAGGTGCGGGGGCATAACTATTAAAATGGGTAACGGTAGGGGTAAATAGTGAAGGAAAGTATAACGGAGGGTACTAATAACTAATTTTCAATAGTACAGGGACATATTTGACCCTTTTCCGTAGAAACAAATTACTTGATTTTTTTATTTCTTATTTTTTATTTTTTTATTTTTTTGTATTTTTGTCTTTCCTAAAATGTGAATCATAGTCTTTTAAAGTCCTTTTCTACTTTATTAACCACTAGGCTGTGTGAATACATGTAAGTGATTTGCACTTGTCTCGGGTTAACGTTCGTACCATACAAACAAAAGAGTTAATATGGACAACTTGTCCATGTATTTGAGGGAGAACTCAGCCGTGAATAGCGAGTAAGATGCATTAAATCAACAAACTTTAAACAAGAATTAGCGGTGACAAGGGGAAGGCATTTAATTAATGGACAAAAAATCATGTAAAAAGCTTGAGAGAGCTATTAACTCACTGCAGAGGAAAGAGCAAGAAAGCTATCCTCAATGTTGTAGTGCAACTTCATTCCATTATCGCTTGTGAGAACAGATCGTTTTTTTTTAAAAAAAAAAATGGTTCTTGATGCTTGCTACTTAAGAAGGGAAACGCAACTTGAAGAAAATTTAACTTTCTGCCGTTTGCTTTCCTTTCCTCTTATTCGCCAAACCAAACATGGGGAAGAAAATTTAACGAACTTTGCTCCCTTGTTTCGAACGAACAAGGTATTTCTAAAAAAAAATTGCATTGTTCGGAGAAGTTGTTTGGTTAATCTGTACGAGAAGTTTTTAAGAAAAGAAAATGTTTACTTGAAGCACGGCTATGATAGAAGGAACTAATAATTTCTGGAACACGGTATACATTCATATACCCAATAAACAAGGAATCCAACATTCTTAGCTAAACTAATCCCACTTCAACACTAACATTTTTCTCATCCTGTTCCTTTATTTTCTACGGATTCAAGCAGCACCATAAATGGATCAAGCAACATTCCGTTGTCTTTCCAGATTTTGCAGGGGCGCTGTCCGACAAGATAGACCCTTGTGAAGCTTGCAAATATCTAAAGCTTATTTATTACATTGGTAGTTAAAGCTCATGGAATTTGATGTTACTATCAGCTGATTAACGATGTATTGTGTCGTTGTAACACGTATACCTCCAGGAACTACTTTTTGTAACCGAAAAATCTAGGGCTAGTAGCACACTGTTCGAAACTCAGTGGAATAATGAGTCTAACCCTCCACCCGTCCCACCTTAAATACCAAGCTTTTGTATTTGAACCCGTAGCTTGCGCCTACCCACACATTATACGTTAAGCTCTAACCACTAGACCAAAGCCCAGGGTGCAATTCACCTCCAGCATTATTATGATGTGGAAAACAACAAAACGTATAAACTAACCCAAGAGCACTATCACACCACTAAGTGAATGATAGATTTCAAGTGTTGCTTCATACTTCCTTTTTCCCTCTCCATTAGGTGTTCTACATCACTACAAAACCAGCATCAGAAAATTCTGATGAGACTAATAGATCAGTTATGCAAATCTACAACACAAAATTGACCCCTTTCTCCTCTATACTCAACTACTATACAAGGCAAACTGCATTGATAGAACCATCATTTTCAGGATTATTAGTCAATTGGGCTGTGTTTCCCTGCATTCACCATCTGAGAAATGAATCATCAGCAACCTATGTTTGCTTGGATCCTCCAAAAATGTCCTTTTGTGATCCATGTCAAATTCAGCCACATTTTCGAGGATCCAAACAACATAGCAGCAACTAAAAGAAAAATCTAGAGAGACGAAGGAGTAACAAGCACCGAAAGCACACCTTACCCCATACAAATTTTCCAGCAGGGGTGACAAGACCAAGCTCACTCACATTTACCTAGATTCACAGAAAAAAATTAAAGATATGAAACATCAACTACATAGACTTGGATGCACCATTAAAAAAGGAAGATTATCTCAATGATGGTTATTGGTTCCTTTGGTCACAACACCTAGCCTAGAGATGTAAACTTTGGACCATTAGGATTTTTTAACCACAATGCTCTCAAGATTGAACGTGCATTTAAGTTCAGGAAGTGTCACATGCTTTACGTAAACCCGTCGGTCCGATAAACCGATCACACTTGGGAGGTATCATGTAAAACCTGGCCCAACAAAAGTTGCTTTTGGCCATTCTCTTCCACTATCAGGATGCACATATGAAAAAGAAATTTAAAAAGTCAGAAAGACACGTTCTGTTCAACCTCAAACACAACAAAAAGTAGACCAAATCGCCTAATAAGCATCAGGGATCCTACAAATGATTTGACAGAAAAGGGAAAACCTAAATAAAACCCTGAGACAACTGGATTATGCCACACATGGAAATGCAATTACATTGTTTAGATATATGGAGGCATTACCATTATGGATTATATCTGATGCTTAAAGATTGCCTCAATCTAAGATAATAGGGACTTAGCACTCCTAATCCCAATCATTTCTGTAACGCATAACATATAGTAATGAAGTTTAAAAATAACCTGCAATATTATGTGAAATATAGGTAATACTCCCTCATCCCAATTTATATTGACAACCCTTTCCACATTGGTAGGTCCCAACATGCATGATGCAATTTCAATAATAATAGTACTCTCTATACATTTACAATTCTTAAGAATTCAAATTCAATTAACTACTTACAGTTTAGACTTCAATTGATATTTTTTTTCTTCATATCAAACTAACTTGAAGTTGTTACTTTAGCCTTGTCCAGGTAAACACAGCGAATATGATATGACAGAGGGAACAATTAGATGATATCTCATAAAAGAGTAACCCAATACTGCCGGAAGGGTGTTTCAAAAGAGAATTAAACCCATAAATGAGCTAAAAATAATCCTTACAAAAAAGGAACTAAACCAATAACTTGATTTTAGAAAGTTCCTTGCGTTTTCCTTCATTTGGGCCGTTTCAGCATAGCATCACTTACCAAACATATTACTTTGATACTCAAAGCTCATTGGAGTCGCAAAAAAGAAAACCACAAATTTCAGATTCAATAAATGGAAGGTATGAGAAAAATTCGAAAGAGATATTGCAAGGGGACTGACTAGGGTAAAACCTTTTAGGTAGTCCGCGAGCACTTGTGATCCTCCTTGTTGCATTTATGCTCAAAGTTATCAGTGATACCCATTTCTCTTCCTGTGCAACTCTATGTAATCTCCCTGCGGCTGTTGCAATTCAAGTTCATAATAACAGTTTATATAATCATATAGCAAACAATGGAATCACGAAAGAAAAGAGTGAAGTAAGAAACAGAGAGAATGTGATGCGAAGAAGAAAAACCCAAGTTTTGTTTCAAACAAGGGCTTAGCCAAAGCCGGACTAATCAAATCGGGCAGGCCAGTGCTATCAGTACCCTTGAGTCGAGTCGAGCTTTTTCTTTCAGAAGCTAATACTTAGAATAACAGGGAGAATAATCATGTATCCTGTTAAACCTGTATAGATCATTACAAGCAACGTCATCTCGAACAAGCAACAAAACTTAAGAAATAATTGGCCTGGAATATGTAACAGTCAGAAATGAAGCATTACAAAAATGGCAAGGACATTCATTCTTATACAACTGAGTATCTGCCTGGCTGAGCAGAACCAGGAAGAGATGATGCTTGCATGGTAATGTCCTCCAAAACACGTTTCAGTTCTGCTTTTGCTCTCTTGACAGATTGTTCCGTGGGCCCCTCAATGAACAAGTACAGCTTCCTGTCCAGAAGCCCTGGTGCCTTGCCAGGTGGAACATACTGTCCTCGAGTGGTGATAGCAGCTCCCGTCCATTCAGAAATAGGACCCAAAGTCTCCTTGTGTGTCACCTTCCAGCGAGCATTTTGAGGGAAATCATTTATCTCTAATTCCGCTTCATAATGTTCAGGCATTGCATCGGCCTGAATCTTCGCTAAGTTGTGCTGCAAGTTCAAGGCAGCTGCCAATGCTGTTGCTCTGGCTGTCACATCATTAGAGCCAATTGGCAGTCCATTTCCAGCAACAGCTGCTGTTGCACCTGGTATATTAATACCAAGTACACCAGGCAATGCAACAGGCAAGCCACCATTGGGAAGAAGCTGACCAGCTGAAACTGGAGCTTTGGAAGCAGCAACAAGAGCAGCAGCCTGAGCAAGGGCAGCCTGCTGAGAGAGGTCGCCACCTGCTTTTCTAATTCCATCATCTTCATCCTCCGAGTCTGATTTATCTTCCTCGAATCCATATTCTTTTGCCTGTGCTTTTTTGGCTGCTCTTCTCACTTCATCCTCTTCTTCATTAAATTTAAAACCACTACCACCATAACCAGTCCCATGTGCTTGCTCAAGTCCCTGATTCACCTTCGCCATGAAACTATCAGCGAGAGCTTTCAGGTCATCTGGAACAACTTGCTCTGACAGTTGTAAAGCTTTCAAAAGATCAGGTGCATATCTTGCATCATCTTCAGATAAGAATGTGATGGCACAACCTTTCCTACCAGCCCGACCAGTTCGACCAACACGATGAACATAGTCCTCATAATGGTTCGGAACATCATAATTGATTACCAGTTCAAGCTCCTTGACATCTAAGCCCCTGGCCGCTATACTAGTAGCAATCAACAAATTACACACATTACTTTTAAAGTCGGATATGGTGGACTCGCGATCAGTCTGATCCTTTGCCCCATGAAGGGAGAGGCAGGGATAACCATGCTTGAGCAAATCTCTAAATAAAGCATCACATTTCTCCTGTGTGTGAACAAAGATCAAAATTTTTCCTTTTTCATACCATTCACCAAGTAATTCAAGGAGCCGAAGGAATCTTTCACCTTCTGGCCTCACCTCAACCAGTTGTGTTATATCCTTGTTCACAACACTCCTACCACCTACCTGTATTTCAACAGGTTTGTTCAACACTTTACGAGCTAATATTTCAACCTGGCGAGGAAAAGTCGCAGAGAACAGGACTGTTTGACGGTCAGGCCGTGTGTTTTGGACAATTCTTGTGATCTGAGGTTCAAATCCCATGTCAAACATTCGATCAGCTTCATCCATGACCAAGTAAGTGACTCTTCGCAGATTCGTAATCTTTCCACCACTTGTACAAAGTATATCAATCATCCTGCCCGGAGTACACACAACAATTTCAGCTCCTCGCTTCAATTCACTAATTTGCTGAGCAACCCCAGAGCCTCCATATACGGGTACACAAACAAGACCCATTGCCTTAGTGAACTTCTTAATATCACTGTGAATTTGCTGCACAAGCTCTCTCGTAGGGGCCATTATCAGCCCAATAGGACCATCCCCAGACATCAGAGGAGGCTGGTCCTTAATATGTCTCAGCATTGGTAATACAAATGCCAGAGTTTTACCAGAACCCGTCTTAGCAATCCCAATGCAATCTCGGCCACTCATAATTACTGGCAGAGCCTGAGCCTGAATAGACATAGGCTTCTCATAATTCAGTTTCTTTATAGTGTCTAGCATCTTGGAGGACAGTCCCGTCTGGTGCCACGTTCTGATCGGTTTAGGAACATCCTTTCCATGGATCTTCAATTCCAGTTGTTTCCTGTAAGCAGAAACCTCTTCAGCACTCATTCTTGAAATCTCCTTAACTTCTATGTAAAAATTCTTTCTGAAAGGAGGATAGTCAATTTTCGAATGATCGACTATTGATAGTTTCTCGGCCTTGGTTTTCTTCACTCGTTTCATAAACTCTTCATCATCCTCTTCCTCCAAAGGATCATCACCTTCATTCTCAACGTTCCCATAATCCGAATCCGAATCTTCACCAGGAATAATTCTTCCCATAGTCTTCTTCACACTCATCTTCTTAGGCTGTTGTTCTTCTTTGCCTTTACCAGTACCATTTTTAGAATTTTCACCATCAAGATTATTGACTACGGCATTGTTAAGCTTCTCAACTTCAGGCAAAACCATAGAGTTCATAAAAGCATCCAACGGGTCAATGTCATAGTCGTCCCCCATTAACTCATCATTGCCATTCTGAATTACAGGGGAACTAACCGCCTTGTCCGCACCATAATCATCATCCATCGCCTTGCCATTATCATCCACATCAATATCCATGCCATGTTTCCCCTCAGCATCTTCATCGTCAGATTCTCCTTCCAAAGTCCAAGTTTTGCCCAATTTAGGTTCTTCTTCAGCACCTGCAGCAACACCAAGCTGCTCCCGTTCGGATTCCTCTTTTTTTCTCTTTAGCTCTTGCCATTCTTGAACTCTCCTCCTTCGCTTCTCCATCTCATCCTCTAATTTCCTTTGCTCCTCAGCAAAATCCTCTTCTCGGCTCTTCTCATTCTTTTCTTCTGCTAATACTTCATCAGTGCTATCTTCCCTGAGCTTGTTGTTGGATTTGCTACTCCTTTCACGATCCCTCTCCCTCTCCTTATGATCATCATCATTTCTCTTTCGCCTCTTTCTATCTCGATCCTTGGCATCAACTTCATCATCGCTACCATTTTCTACTTCGCGGTGTCTATCCTTCTCCCTGTTCCGCTCCTTTTCTCTCTCTCTTTCTCTCCTCTCCTTTTCTCTCTCTTTCTCTTTCTCCCTCCTCTCTCGATCTCTCTTCTTCTCCCTCTCTTTCTCTTTATCCCTCTCCCTCTCCCTCTCTCTGTTTTCACGATCTTCCTTATCCTTTTTTTCTCGCTCTTTAACTTTATCTCTACTAGGTCTTTCATCGTCATTATCATCACGGCCCTTGCTTTTTTCACGCTCCTTATCCTTGTGTCTATCCTTGTGCTTTGCCCTATCTCTATCTCTATCCCTATCCCTCTCGCCGTACTTTTCATCGGCGCTTTTCTCTCTATCATAGCGGCTGCTTTTCTCTCGATCCTTCTTATCGGATGAGGAACGATGGTGGTCTCTGTCCCTATGCTTGTCACGATCTCCTCGATCCTCCTTATCACGGTGACGCTTCTTCGATTCCTCCTCTCTCTTCGACTTGTGCTTCTCTTCCATTAGAAGATAGTCAATCAGAAGGAAAAAGCAACACACACCACACCGGAGGCAACGGGGATACAGTAACTTCGATTATCTCCGGTAAAATCCCTAATTATCTCGGCAAATCCCCAATTATTTCCGGCAAAATCCCTAATTATCTTCGATTCGAGAAATATATATATGCAAAGCTCGTAGGGAAGAAGAGAAATTCCCAAACCCTAGCTTTTGCCTCTCTTTTTTTCTCGCACTGGCTTTCTGCTTATAGTTGAGTCGAGTTTTATGATTTCTTATTTATTTATTTCAGAAGTTGAGTCGAATTGAATATAGTGGGAATAACTTAGGTGGTATTGTTTCCCAAAAGAAATGGGAACTTTTATTTTGAATTATTGCAAAAGTTATTGAACAGAAAAATGAGAAAGAGAACGATTTTTTCTTTTAATTATGAAAATATTTTCCTGAAGAAGTTTAGGTGTTTTTTGTTTTGAAGAGTGAAAAATAGTTACTAAGAAAAATATTTATTAAAGATAAATAGTAAGTAATATTAGCAAAACTTTAGTATTTTGATGAAATTTTAAGTATTAGAGATTGATAATGGTGTCTAAAGTGTAGATTAAAGCATCCGCCGAAAGTGAACGAAGTTATTTTTCCTCATTTGGTGAAAAATGAAAATCAAATACCAAAAAATGACTTATTTATCATAAATATCTTTTTTTGAAACATATTACCAGTCGTACTTAGTATTAATATATTTCTTCAGTCATATTATGGTGGGATGGATAAGATCTCTCCACCCTTAACCAGGTGTCTCAGGTTCGAGTTCTAGAAATGAAAAAGATTTGGATAGAAAGTGCTTCCCTCTCTAACGAGCATTACATGACAAATTAAAATTTGTCAGAACCCCAATATAAGTACCGGACACCGAGTGAGAAATTGAAACATAACTTTTTTCAGCCGCGTAGAATATTGTACTCTCCAGTTATGTAATGAAAAAAATACCTTACCTCTTAAGATCACTTTCTGGTATTTTTTTTTAATTATGTAGACATTTGAGAGTTACATTAAATCAATAAATACTAAAATATATATCTTCTGTACACGTACAAATACTTTTGTCAACGACATTACGACATAATTCTAACTATAATGTATTGTATAATACATGGATAAAAATATGTGTATTTATAATACACGATTAAACACCAAAAAGAACAAAGACATCCTTCTATCCTTTTAGAACCCATATTTTATTCTAAGTTATATATACAATATATCAATATATATATATATATATATATATATATATATATATA